CAGAGTTTCGCATCTTAGCTGTCCTGGAGGGTGGTCTCAAAAAAGCCTGAAGCAGGGGCTGGGGAGATGGTTCAGTGGTTAAGCGCACTGACTGCTCTTCCAGAGGACCCGGGTTCAATTCCCAGCACCCACATGGCAGCTCACAACTGTCTGTAACTACAAATCTGACACCCTCACACAGACATAACACCAATGCAAAAGAAAAACGAAAAAGAAAAAAGCCTGAAGCAGCTTCCTGCATGCCATGTGACTTCAGTAGCCACAGACTGGTCATCTTCCTTCTCTGATAGGTTCAGCCCGTAGTTTACCAACAAGAGTGGCATACAATGTCAATCAGCCATCATCAGTAGCTGCCAGACTAGGCAAGGCCTCAAGGCCCCCAGACCCGCCACTGTACCAGGTGGCTGCGTTCCCATCAAGGGAACAAAGGGGTGCTGACAAACACAAGGCTTGGAAGGTTCTTCCCCAGCTATGCAAGCTCCAGAAGTTCAAGGTTAAGTACATGGGCGTGGCTTGTCTTCTCCCAACTTTTCACCCCCACTGAGTGGACCTGGCAGAGATCTGGCCCATCATCTAACCCTCCACACTGTGGCTCTTGCAGAAGTGGAGTTGGGGTGTATGTAGATTGGACCCCCACAGCACCTCTACTCGAAGCCCTTCTGGGTTAAGTGCCCTGCTTTGAAGAGGAAGAGGAGGAAGGGGTCCCAGGACACCCCCCCCATTCACACTACCTTCTCCCATCAGCTGATGAATGCAGTGAACACACTGGACAGGGATGTCCTCAACCAACTGCATGTGCAGCTCATGGAGCTGAGAAGCTGCAAAGGCTACAAGCAGTGCAACCCCCGGACCCGAAACATGGACCTGGGTGAGTAGGGGTCCCAGCGTGGAACCTGCAGAGAAGAGCTTAGGTCATGTCTGCCCCCAAAGTGAGCCCAGAACCACAGGGGAGGGTCCAAGTCAATGACGGGGAGGTTACAGACACCGGGCTTTCACGGGGTTGTGCTTCCTGAGAGCGGAGAGCCTTTACAATCTACACAGGGTACAAACTTGGTTCACATTTCCTCCGTTTTGTTCATTCTTTATGCAGAACGTAACCCTGTGAGTTAGGGAAAATGCAGAGCTGGAGTTCTGCTCAGAGAGCAAGGGTCCGTACAGGGAAGTCTCTGTATGGAGGAGACAGGACCATTGGGGCTCTGTGATAAGTCAGGGTGGTCATTGTAGAGGGAGGGGCAGTCAGCTGCTGAGTGAGGGGAGCATCAAGAAGCCCAGTGTGGCTGGAGTGATGTGTGAAAGGCAGGGTCAGCCAGCCAGCCCGCAACAGGCTTTGCAGGCCACAGAGAAAAGTTCAGGCTTCAGTTGGGATGGTTCGGAGAGCTGATGGGAGCCGTCACTTAGAAAAAGACAGCGATTACTGAGTAGAGGATGAAGCCGGATCCCGTAGGTAGTGGTAGAGTTATCTACGGAGACTAGTGGCTGGGACTCAGTGAGCGATGCTAATGGACTTGAGGTGCAGAACTGAAGCCCACACCACATGGTGGTGATGTGGGGTGGAGATAACAGAAGAGGCCGCAAGGCTACTCCTGGGCTTGGGGATGGGGTTGACTAGGGTAAACCCAGCAATTCCAAGGTCAGGGTGCCAGCTGGATGTGTTAAGGTAGAGACCATGAGGAGGCGGTCATGTGCTTTATTAGCCATGACCAAGTGTAGAGGGAACAACCCCTGAACCCTTGGTCACCTGCTTGTCCTGAGATGCCTGGAGTTCCCATTGGGAAATGGTAAGTGGACGAGACAGACCCAGAGTGCCCGTCTGCTTTATGATGGGGGGGAGGTCTCAAGTAGCTACAGAGGAGTAACGGGAAACACCTGACCCTACCCAAGTGCTTGTTGCTAATCTGTGATGGTCGTGCTTAGAAGGGAGTGAAGTGAACCCACTGACTCATGTTCATGCACTTGGCCACATGCCACACCCTCAGGAATTCAGAGTGCAACCGGGAGTCCCCCACCTACCCACCACCACTGAGTCTGTGCAGCACGAATACCCACCTGTCTCTGCTTCCCCACCAAGACCATTGTGAACAAAGGCTCATGCATACTATGGCTAACTGGGGTCAACGGCGGGCGTGTGTGTGTGTGTGTGTGTGTGTGTGTGTGTGTGTGTGTGTGTGTGTGTGTGTGAGAGAGAGAGAGAGAGAGAGAGAGAGAGAGAGAGAGAGAGAGAGAGAGAGAGAGAGAGAGAGAGAGAGAGAGAGAGAGAGAGAGAGAGAGAGAGAGAGAGAGAGAGAGAGAGAGAGAGACAGAGAGAGAGAGAGAGAGAGAGAGAGAGAGAGAGAGAGAGAGAGAGAGAGAGAGAGAGAGAGAGAGAGAGAGAGAGAGAGAGAGAGAGAGAGAGAGAGACATAGGGCCATCTAGCATAATAAAGGAACACTAGTGACACCCTGGCCTGGCATTGTGACAAGCTGAAGGTGGCCCTTAGCTGTGCCTTCCTTGGAGGTCACAAAGCTTGCTGATGTTTGTACATTTCACTGTTCCTATTCTGTTCATCTCTTACTTAGGACTGAAAGATGGAGGAAGCTATGAGCAATACAGGTACTTGGTTTTGTTACTTAAGTTTGGGCTAAGTTCCCCTATCTTGGCTGTCCTTTCTTTTTATAGTTGTACCTATTGAGACTGTCTAGTGGCCCAGTGATAGGTGTCACCTCACACACCATCTTCGCACAGTTCTGGGAGGCAGGGGCGGGGAGCGACGACACAATCTTCGTGGTGATGGTTAACACGCATCTTCCTTTTGGCAACTACCTTTAGGCAGTTTCAGCGTCGAAAATGGCCAGAAATGAAGAGACCGTCCAAATCACTGTGAGTTGGAAAACCAGTTTGCAGACAGGCAAAGTTGGTTCTGACTTGCTCACTTCAGGTTTTGTTGCTGTTGTCTGGTTTGTTTGTTTCTAATACTGGGGGTTAAAGCCAGGAATCCTTCATGCTAAACAAGAGCTAGAATTCCGCTGAATTCCACCCCAGCCTTGTTTCCCTTCTCTGGGGAACAAAGTCATAGCTGTTTTTCCTATTATGTGAATACATTTCGTAATTTCAGAGTAATAGCTAATCCTAATAGATTGCTGTAACAATCCGGAAGCTTGGGCTATGACAAGTTGAGTGTGTTGTGATGTGACTAAGTACTATAGCTGACAGACACCTTGGAGGGTGTGGCTGTCTCAGCAGAATGGCTGTCATGGGCCATGTGGACACTGCAGCAACCCACAGTTCACCCCAAGTCTAGGGCACAATACAGCTTGCCAGATTCTCTCAAAAATACAAATGTGAGAACTCACTTTTAAACTGACGGACAGCTCATCTACTCCCCTCTGCAGTGACCCACCCATCCCTCTTCATGCGTTCTTTGTGGCTTCCTGAGGACAGCTTCCAAAGCTAGCATCTCACAGCCTTAGCCACAACTCTACCCAGACCCTTAAAAAACCATCCTTGAGTTGATAAGTGAGCAATTGTGACAACCGGGAGGGGCAATTACTCCTTCCTATCAGCCACACCCTTAAACCAAAGCTTTGCAGTGGAGGGTGGAGGACTTAAGTCTGAATAGCAGGGTAACCAAAAGCTGAGTGTGTTTTGTTCTGCAGGGGACAGCTTTGGGAAGGCTGGGAAGGTTAAGCACCTAGCGAGGAACCTCCAAAACCAGAGGCCTTGTGTGGCTGTCCAGGCCGTTGCACAAACCACAGGATCCCTAGTGCTGGAACTGGGAGGCCTGACAGGAGGCGGGGCCTGCTCCTGGGACATGAAATCCTTGAGGACAGCGCCCAGACTTCCCCGGGGCCCCCTTTTTTTACTCTGCTTTGCTTTGGACTGAACCTCACCAGCTGCACAGAGCACGTCCTCAAGTCTGGAGTCTCTGCCAGCCCTCTCAGAGGCACAGAAGGACCGTGGAAATGATTTCTATGGATTTCCTACAGGGCTGAAAGTTGCTGAGTTTTTGTTTTTTTTAAGTGGTGTCCCTACACAAGCCTGTTTTAACCTTTGGAGAAAGCACGGACATGGGCAGCTCCTGAGAGCTGTCTGGCCATGAGTCAATAGCACAAAAACAGCACCATTCCTGGCCGGACCAGCCGCTGCCTCTGAAGCTGCCTTCACTGTACATACGTGACCGCTCACATGTAACCACACAGGGACTTTAGGGGACTCTCACTAATACAAAAATCCCATTCTCAAGAGTCCTGGTGTCAATAAACGCTCTGTGGCCCGTGTCGACGAAAGTCCCTTGGGCTTTGTGGACTTTTCTGTTCCCACCCAGGAGTCATTCCTGATATCCATCCCAGAACTGATGTTTTCTAAGGTACTGAACACCCAAGTTGATGTGTGTCCTGTGTTTCAATGACATTGTATTTGTAAAGAAATTTTGTAGTATAAGTACCATCTTACAGTGTTCACAGCCCCAGCCAATGGCTAGCTATTGGTATGAAAAACAATCTTTGAATTTTTGTAAAAGGCTATGTTGGAACTTTTTTTTCTGTATTTTTGACTTTTTCTTTAAGCATTCAAGATACTGCCAGTACCTTTGGGAAGGGTGCACCTTCAGCCGGGAGAGGGGTTTTGGAGAGGCAGAGGGTAGCACATTAATGTTAAACCCACCATGCTTCAAGGGGCTTCACAGGTAAGTCTCACCAGCTCTGGGCCATCTGGAAGTCTCTGTTTCCCAACAGCAAGGCCTTCACTCATCCAGTCCTTTGTTAAACCAAGTAGGGTGACCTGGTCTACATGACTGCCAGAAAGCTAGGGTGGGTAGAGGCAGAAAGGTCACCCCCATATCTCAGCAGCAGGCACCAAGTGTGTCCAGATAGTCCCATAGTTTTCAAATGCCTTAAACAGGCCCAGGCTGCTAGGAGACAGGACTGCTCTGACCTCACAGACACATGAGTGTCCTTAGTCCATGTCCTTAGCCCTGTGTCACCCATGACCTGGGCATGTGGAGGAGACGAAACACGTGCGTAGGCTGAGGTTTAAATAGAAGCCTTTATTTACAAGAACATCCAGACAGTCAGCAAGGCATTCAAAACTCACTTCAACTGAGTCACCCACATGATTTCGATTCCTTGCAGGGTAAAGAATGACTCCATTTCAGGTGACACTTAATATAAACTTGATTAAACCCAAATTTGTTCAATGGTGTCAGTTCCTGAGAATTCACCGCTCTCGGAGTGACATTTCATCTTCTTCAAAACTCCATACATTCAAAGGGGAGAGAAAAGGGAGGCGACAAGAACAAACAGAACAGCGCCTGCTTCTTGAGGTGGAAACAACCCCTCGGCTGCGGGCCAGGGTCACAGCTTCAGCTAGCCTAGACTTTCTCCTGTAACCACCCTACTTGGGAACACAACTCACGGCCTCCCTCCAGATAGAAAGGGACTGGACAGGCATGTGGGCAACTGGCAATCCTCTGCATCTGCCTCTGACTAAAGAAACTTGGCAGAAACTTCTCCAGTACCCACTGCTATGTGCCCCCAACTCATCTCTGTACTCAATTAATCCTGATACATGGAGTAGGGCTGTTTGAGAGAGAACGTCCTAATACCAACAGCAACAGTACAGCTACATTAAATTTTGAAGAAACATGTTTCCTTAATATCATTTGATCTTCATAAAATATATTTTTATTTATATATCTTTGGATTCAGCAAAAAGTAGGTACTGGAAACGTCCCACATCATAAAAGCAGGTGGAAAGATTACTGTTTGTTCAAAAGACACCTAGGTTTAAAGAGGGTCCAGCAGAGGGGGAGGCGAGGTAGGCAACAGGAGTACAAAGAGAATGATCCAAAAAAGATTAAAGGGCAAGTCAGGTAAAAGCAAATTATCCCCAAGACTATTAAAAAAAATCTGAATTTGGGATTTGCACCAATAAAAATAAGTAGAAAATATAAAAACACAATAAACGTCATTTTTCCCCATACAAAAAGTGGGTGCCAACCAGTTAGCCTGGCACTGGGATGCTGAGGCAGGAATCACAAAGTTGGGTTTAATGTCTTTAAGAGAGGCAGGAGCACCACTGTGGCTACAGTCTAAGCAAGGAAGTCTCAGCCACACCGGCCCGACTCAGGCAGAGGCTGTCACGTGCACAGTGACACAATGGAAGCTTATGGATTTACAACCTGGGGCAGTAGGTCAGTCACAGGAGGAATCCCATCAGGACCTGGACACGTTGGAAAGTCAAGTCCACACTTGAGGTGGCTCTGGATATACTGGCTTTACTTGTTCATAGACAAGCGATGTCCCTTCAGGGATATAGAGAACAAGTGGCCTTTAAAAACTAGTTGGCTCTCAGAAAATGACACCAAGGCTGGCAGAGATGTCTGAAAGCTGTGGATAGTCTAGTGACCCAATTTCATGTAATTGTTTGAACCTAAGGAAACCCAAGTAAAGGGCATTAAATTTGGTTTTCCCCTACTCCAAACTTACTGGAGCAGGTGCCAAGAAGAGGCAAGAGAAGTGGCGGGGAGGGGCTGGCAGGCGACCAGGCCCTCCCCTGACTCAGCAGCACTGGCAGGCCTGGTTCTGACTCAGCACCCCGATGCAGAGAGGTAGTAAGAGACCCCATGCGCAGAACAACAAAGAGCTGAGCAGACAGCAGACCCCACGGCAAAGTCTCAGCGCCTGCCACCTAAGTGTGGCTCAGGACCTAGCAACCACAGTCACTCCTAAGATGAAGGGGCTACATACCCCATACTGAGTTTACCAAAACTATTACCATTTAACTTACGGACTGCTTTAAAATGTAAAGATTCTTTTTGAAATCAATTTGCTTCATTTTTTTAATTCTTGGGTTGTTTTTTTAAAAGCTCATTTGCCCCACATCTATTCTTTCCCCCAAATTAACAAAGTGCGTAGTTCTCTGGTAAAGAAATTTTTAAATGCCTACATCTATAAACAAATGATGAGTTTAAAAAGCCTTAGGTTAGGAGATTGAAGAGTGAGGCCTCTAAGGTGAGGTGGGGAAGCTGCAGGCTCCCTTCCTCCCCAGGCTGTGGATTCCAGATGTCTCCTCTTCTGTTTGTAACCTCACTGCATGGAGTTTACAGAAATTGACTATGTTAAATATTTAGCTTCACAAACTCTATAAAAATGAGCTGCTGTGACCTACAAAAAAAAGGTATGTACATATTTTTACATAATACAATATCTTAAAAGATCCTATTTACAAAAAAGGAAATCTATTCACAGAAACGCTGTGAGCTTCTGATTGAGGGTGCAGTACCTGGCCTTGGATTTCACAAGTTTATTTCAAAGCATTATTGCTCTACCATATAGGCAAAGGGTGACGCCAGTACTTGAAAGAAAACAACAAACAAACAAAAAACAATCATGTTCTTGTCCTAACAGATTAGTGCAGACAAAAACCAGGAATGTGGCTCACCATTCCTCACGCCCTCGGGAATATTGCATTTCTCCACGATTTCTTAAGTAAAGTGCACTTGGCTGCACATTAGCATGGGAAGATTTAATATTGTCATCTCATTTTCCCTTCTGCAAAGCCATTATTAACATCAATAACAAATCCTTGAGAGTTACAGGGTATTGGGACCTCATCAGGAGAAAAACCTAAGACAACAGACTCTGGGGACTACACCTGTAAAGGACAACAGAAGAGTGACACAGAACTACTTGGTGACAAACACTTGAAGGCAGACTGTGCTCCTCGTCCAGTGCTACAAGGCAGAAACCCTAGCCACCTAGATTTATGTGAAGACTTTGGCTGGCGAGGCAGAAGGAAGTGACACAAGAGAGGCGATTATGACATTCCTATCTCCAGAGTCACGTCCCCATGAGGCAGAACACCATGCCACACAGAGGCAGGGCATCAGGTAGACAGTGCTTCAGCTTGAGACCCGGTTCCGCTCAAATGACAGCACTTGGAACACCCTGATGGTCAAGCTGGCCCTTGCTTCCAGGCTGGATGCCTGACAATGACTCATTACCTCCCGATGATCCTGTGCAGTGTCATTTGTACAGTGATTCCCTAATCGGTCCACTGGGGAGATGTCAGCAGTATTTCTGTTAACAAAAGAAAATAGTCAGCCTGGCTGAAAACATCCCCCATCTGTACTTGAGGCTCCACCTTAACATAAATACCTCCCTGCTCAGGACCTTCAACCCAAATGCTCTTCCAAACTGCATTTTGTGTATGTTATATACCCAAGTTAAGTCTACAGATCACCCTAACAGTTAGGGTTCTGGGTCTGAACAAGGTAGGAGAAACCTTTTTGGAGAGTTAAGAATAGACACCCATACCTGATCAGGACCCATGGGCATGCCAGACATGGGCATGGGGGTCATGTTCATCTGTCCCAAGTGACCACCAGTGTTGTTCATGTGCATCATGCTGTATGCTGCAGGCTTCCCCTGGGGGGCAAACTGCTGCTGGGGAAAGGAGCTGCAAAGAAAGGTAAAGTTGCTTCCAAGCCAATCCACATTGCAGCGCACATGGACTGTCCCGGCTTTGTTAAATGTCCCTGCCTAAGCAGATAACAGAAAAACAACTGCCTCTTACTTTGTTTTGTTGCTGTTGTTGAAACAGGATCTTATTGTTATCTCTGGCTGTCCTGGGGCTCCCTGTGTAGACCAGGATGACCTCAAACTCAGAGATTCTCCTGCCTCTGCCTCCCAAGTGCTGGGATTAAAGGCGTGCACCACACCTGGCCTCAGGAACGTCCTAACAGCCTGCCTGCCTTCTGTTTTCCACAGCTGTCAGGACTCAGCATGCTCACAGATGTGGGTATGGTATAAAGCAACCCCAAGTAAGCCAAAATACCTCATCTCTAACTCAGAGCCAAGCCGCTTAAGTGTGGCTGAGAAGCAGTTCATGCCTTCAGTGCTAGGATGTAAAGATAAGTCACACTCCTTACCTGCTTCTGCCCAGGTTCCCTGATGGCCACCCCTTCATTTCTGAGGACTGATACATGGGTGCAGTCTGAGGATGTTGCACCATGGCATTCTGGGAAGGGCCCATTCTTGATGACATCATTGCATTGGGAGGACTGGATACTCGACCAAAAGTTGGATCTTGTGGTTGTCCCATTCCTTGAAGAAATAAACAAGAATCGTGTTCAACTGCTACACCCTTGGGCTCTCAGCATCCTAGAATTACTGGGGGTGCAGAGCATGGTGAGGAAAGGAGCTGCTCTGGGTGTTTCTGCTTCTCACTGTGATGACAAAGTCGTGTTGAGTAAAAACAATGCCATCTAGAGCAACTGAGTAACCTCCTGGGAGACTCCTCCCCAGAGAGCATGGCTGCATTGCTGGAACTGACAGTCTCCCAACAAGACACCCTTATCCCAGAGCCTCCCAAAGGCAGGACTATAGGACAGAGTGCTTAGTATAATCACAGAGAGCACACAAGTCACTGAGAAGAGACTGAAGCCCACACCTGGGCTCTGTCCCCCTGGCTACAAGGTCCAGCAATGACACAGCATTCTTCACCACTGGGACAGGAAAAAACGAGCAGAAAATGGTTTATGTCACCATTTTCAAATGAGGGAGGGGGTGCTGGAACTGGGGGATCCCAACTGAGAGAACACACTTGTTCTCTGTCCCCATTACTGGGCACATTCGAGCTCTATGCTGCTCTGTCGTTTTCCTCAAAGAAAATGGAATGAACAGTATTTTGTTTTTCAAACACAACAGACCTAGTGAAGCTTGTGACCTCAGTAACATTACTTAGGGAAAGGTACAATATGCCAGGTTTACCATAATTCGTTGGATATGGAAACTGCTGCGGTGGGGCTTGTGGCATTGCTGATCCTGCCAAAACCCCATCCATGCTAGGGGAAGCGGTGACATTGGGAGGTGGGCTGAAGGCCTGAGGCTGCGGCTGTGACATCATCATTGCCATTCTCTGCTGCTGCAGGTGATGGTTCATCAGCTCTCGTTTCTGCTGGGCAGCCATTTGAGCATTAAAGAAAGCCTGCTAGTAGACAAAAGATAGACAATACAAGAGAACCAATCAGTTTCACACAGTGTCGTACACACATGAGTATCATAGAGAAAGAGCACTATATGTCTTCTCTGTAATTACCAAAATTACCAAAAATGTTTCTTTATACCCGTGGCTTCTAAATGCTGTCAGCAAGCATTTAGTCCTCACTATCTAGGATCACTTCCCAAAAAACTCAGTGGCTATCTTACAATACAGCAACTCCAAGGACCTGGGTTCAATTCCCAGCACCCACATGGCAGCTCGGTCCCTGGAGATCTCACATCCTCAAGGGGCACTGGGCGTGCACGTGATGCACAGACAGCCATGCAGGTAACACACTCAAACACAACCTTTTGTAAAGACAGAAAGTGTGATGGACCAATTCTTACAAGAACTTCAGGGTTATTCTCATTTGTTTAAGAAGCATGGACTGAGAACCAGGCAGAAGCCAAGCCCTAAGCTGGAATGCAGAGATGTTCATCCTCTGCTAGGAACTCACCTGGGGCTGCATCATGGGCCTCATCACAGCAGCACCACCAGCAGGGTTTTCCATTTTCATCTCAAGTGCCTGCCGGCTCTGATTCAAAAACTGAATAGAGAGAAGTCAGTAGGGTCAAGTGGATGGTGGTAAGGATCCCCAATCAGCTTTACAAACTTTTAGCACCTCCCAGGGAGATGGTCTCTCCAACCCACTGATCTTGGAAGCCAGCCACATCTAAACTGAACTCGTTTGTTTTCACTCTGCAGAAGAGAGATGGCTCAGCAGCAGCTGAGAGCATGTACTGCTCATCCGGAGGGCTGGGCTCCTTTCACAGCACCTACATGGTGACAAGTTCTTGTCTGAGTGTAAAGCTTCTTTGGCACTGGGGCAAAAAGCAACTTGAACAGCGTTGTAACAGGAGCTCAATGGACTCACACTGTCAGGTTTCTTCAGAGCTTGTTCAGACCATCAGAGGAACAACTTTAACTTAATCAGATAATAGTGAGGGTTTGGTAGAAAGAAATACCAAAACTAAACTACCACAAGCACAGGCACACAGCTTCCCCAGTTCTAAATCCACGCCACCAACAACCACTCCCCAACTCTGGTTATCTATTCAAGTGATCTAGCTCCACAAATTGTAACAAGAACACTTATCAGCACTTATTTTAGGTGTGTCTGCATGTGGGTTTGTGCACATTTGTGAGATTTCTCAGAGGTCAGAAGAGGATGTGGATCTTTGAACTATAGTTAGACTGAGTTTTCCAATGTGGATGCCAGGAACCAAACATAGGTCCTTTGCAAAGCAACACATGTTCTTAACTGCCGAACATGTCCCAGCCCGAAAGTTCTAAAAGCTTTAAAATACCAAAAAGCAGTTTCCGTTAAAATGCTGAAATCAACACTGGTGGTAGCACACACCTACCATCCCAGCATGAGAGGTGGAGGCTGAAACTCAAAGTCTGGTTGGCATTAGCAAGAGCCCGTCTTTAAATTGGAAAGCTAAAATCAACGTTTAAGTATTTGGTCATCATACTAAGAAGCACCATCCAAGCTTTGCGTTGGTGGTGCATGCCTTTAATCCCAGCACTTGGGAAGCAGAGACAGGCAGATCTCTGTGAGTTCGAGGCCAGCCTGGTCTACAGAGCTGTTCCTTCAGGGGAAATCATTTCATTTCTGATTTTTTTTTTGTTTTGTTTTGGTTTTTTTTTGTTTGTTTTTTGTTTTTTTTGTTTGTTTGTTTTTTCGAGACAGGGTTTCTCTGTATTGCTTTGGAGGCTGTTCTGGAACTTGCTCTGTAGACCAGGCTGGCCTCGAACTCAAAGAGATCCGCCTGCCTCTGCCTCCCGAGTGCTGGGATTAAAGGCGTGCGCCACCACCACCCGGCTCATTTTTGATGTTTTAACCTGGTCTGTTTTGTTCTGCTAGAAACAGAGCTCACTGTATAGCCCTGCCTGGCCTGGTACTGTGTAAACCAAGCTGGCCTGCAGAACTCACAGAGATCCCCATTTCTGCCTCCCACGTGCTGGATTAAAGATGTGCGCTCGATAGCAGGGTGAGGCTCTAAGGGTGACATTAGGCTGCCTGGCTTGCATGGAAAGCACTTTTGCCCACTGAGCCATTCTGCCACCACTAACGTTAAACCATAAAATATACTTACAGAAAAATACCCAATATTAACACATAGGCAACAAGGAACTGTCTACACTTCTTAAACCGAAGTGGAAACAAAGGGAATTCCCTTAGTTAGCAAGGGAGACCAGTGGCAAGAGTTCTGAAGAGTGCAGCCTGAGAGCCACTGAGAGCCTGGGAAGCACCGCGGACTCACCTGCTGGCCCTGCAGCCTCTGCTGAAGCTGCATCCTCAGTTGCTTCGGGGTGTTTGTCCTCGGTCTCACCATGCTGGCTCTGGGATGCATCCCTTGGAGAGGAAAGCTGCCTTGCTGGTTAATCTGATTCATCATGGAGTTAAAAGACGGCGACTGTCCCTGAAGGTTAAAGCCTCCTTGCATTGGAGGACCCTGGGCTGGGTACGTCTGTCCATAGAGTGCGGCTTTCTGATCCATCATCATTGATGCTTCCTGGCCTTGAAAAACATCTTGTTTGGCCTCCAAAGCCTGCCCCTTAAACATCAAACACAAATGAATGAGCCACATCTGAGAAAGAAAGCAATCAAAAGCAGATATCCCAAACAAGGGTTTAAAAAAAAGTCAGTCTTGAAGCAAATCAAGATTCGGGCCTGAAGTTCACAGGAACACAGGCATACCTTCTCTGTTGGGAGTGAGTCCTAGTACAGGGCAACTCACACACTCTGCCTTTCTTTTCAGTAGCTACAGATCAGTCAATCCCTGAGGAAATCTGCCCAAGAACAGTAACAATCACACTTCTCACACCAAGCAGACACGCTGACTACTCATGGATCTACTATTTTTTTTTTTTTTTTGAGACAGGGTTTCTCTGTATAGCACTATAAGAACTCATTCTGTTGGCCAGTCTGGCCTCAGACTCTGAGATCCACTTCTTCTGCCCCCTAAGAGCTGATATTAAAGGTGAGTACCTAGGACTACTAACTAGCTATTGAAGTATGCTTTCTACCCCAAACATCTCTGTACATTTGACTTATGCAAATAAGTCTTTGACTGGGTGTCCCCCGCACCTCAAGCTATACGGAAACAGTAGTAACCTCCACTTTCCTATAAGAAAAGAAACTCACTGTATCGTGCCTGGCTCCCCATAACTCCTTCCTTCTAAGTGTGTACAATGGTATGCACACTCACTCAGTCCTCCTCGGGCTCCTCCTTTCTGCTTACACCCTTCCGTTCTCTGCACTCCTTTCCAAGACTCCTAAGGATTCTTGCAGCAACTGTCATCATGCTTCTACTGCCTTGTCTACCACGCCAACCCCGCTCACTCCAGACACGAGACAGGGTTTCACTGTGTAATATCCCTGGCTGTACTGGATCTCGCTTTGTAGACCAGGCTGACCTAGAACTCAAGAGATACACCTGCCTCTGCTTCTTGAGTGGTTTACATCAGACATTTAATAAAACAGCTGAACACAGCACACATTAATCTTCTTTCTCTTACCCACTCTACCAAGACAAATGTAAAGAAATTAGAAGGTTCTGAGAACCTACCTAACCCACTGATAAATATGTACAAGCAGGAATTAGTCAGCCATTCATGACTGTCCAGCCTCTGCCTGCCAATCTACTAAGGACCACCTGTCCTCTTAGGCAGCTTCTCCATTCCTGGAAGTACTTAGTCATCATTTTCTGCATTTCACATTTGGACCCTGTCTCTCCCTGATCATAGATAGACATCATACTGTAAATATCTAGTATGTAAATATACATAGAACATCTACTTTACTTTTATTATTGTTGTGTATGCAGGATGTGTATATGCACCACAGTGCACATGTGTAGGTTAGAAGCCAGCTTTGTAGTGCTGGCTCTCTCCTTCCAACTTCATGTAGACTATTGCAGGAAATCCAGGAATCTAACGTTGCCAGGGTAAGCCAGCCTGTTATAACAGTATTCTGTTGACTATCTCATCTTCTTGTCACCTGTCATCTATGGCTATTTTTAGATGGATTAGCTATCAATTAAGTGTTTCCCAGTTAACAATTTAGCTTCTAGGATTTCCCCAGCAAATTACTGTGGGCATTAAACAAACAACTGAAGTTGGTTTGTTTGGGGGGATTATTCTGTTTTCTAAGGCAGGGTTTCTCGACAGGACTGTTACACAGAAAAATCCTGGGGGGAAGGGGTTTGGAAGACAGGGTTTCTTCTCTATGTAGCCCAGATGTCCTCGAACTCACTTTGTAGACCAGGCTAGCCTGGAAAACTCAGATGCTTCCCCTTCCCCCTTAACCTCCTCAAGTGCTGGGATTAAAGGTGGACGACATCACCATGCCCAGCAACATTTTTTTCTTTGGGGGCCGGGGGGGTTTTGAGTCAGGGTTTCTATGACTTTGGAGGCTGTCCTGGAACTAGCTCTTGTAGATCCGCCTGCCTCTGCCTCCCGAGTGCTGGGATTAAAGGCATGAGCCACCAATGCCCAGCAACATTCTGAAAACAAAACTAAAACCAAGCCACCACACAAAAAAAGGAATGGCAAATCACTGGCAATATTTGCTGCCCAGCATTTAGGAGTATCACACTGCATGTGGACACCCTGGGAACAAAAAAAAGCCTGAGTTTTACACCTCCATGAAATCAAACATGACACTGAACCACCATGCCATTTAAACCCATTAGAAAACTACAAAAGAGCTGGGTGGTTGTGGTGCACACTCTTGATCTCTTTGGTCTATCATATTAGTAAATATTCTTTTAAATTAATCACACCCTGAGGGCTGGAGAGATGGCTCAGAGGTTAAGAGCATTGCATGTTCTTCCAGAGGTCCTGAGTTCAACTCTCAGCAACCACAAGGTGGCTCACAACCATCTATAATGAGATCTGATGCCCTCTCCTGGCATACAAGCATGTACACAGATTTAAAAAAAACTGTATGCATAATATTTTTAAAAATTAACCACACTCTGTTATCTGTGGCCATCTGCCTAAGCCACACACACAGTGGAGCTGAGAGGAATAGAAACCCCACTAGAAAAGCACTACCACCACCTTCCTGAGACAAGGTCCTGATGTGATGGACCAGCCTGATTCCATCTTGAGATTAAAAGCCATCTTATTACAAGGTCAAAATAAGTTCATTCCTGTTTTCTGTAAAAATTGGGTTTTCTGGAATTTCACGTTCCACACCCTATACCCTAACCTCCACCCTGATAAAATGCTCTGCCAAAATAACATTGAAATGTTCTGCCAAATTCCTACCTACATAACCCCAAACCCTTGAGAACCCTCTAATCTTGCAGTTTGGGAGCTAAATATAAACTCCATCTTATCCTATGTTCAATGCAGTTTTCTCAAACCCCACTTTAGGGAGCTAGTCCAGTCTGACAGAAAATAAAGCTTGCTTAATTTGACCAAAGAATTTCGGGTGATGGAAACAACACACTGCCTGGTCTTCAACTCCTGGAATCATGCAATTTCTTGACAGCTTCCAGAACAGCTGGGACACCAAGTTCTATCACCTGCCTGAGTCACTCAGCCTCTCAAGGACTCACACTCTCTATACCCTTCACTTTTCTCTTAAGATGGAAAGAACACACACACACACACACACACACACACACACACACACACACACACACACACACACACCCGGCGACCACACAGTAAGATTACATCTACAGACTACACAAAGCTGAAGAATGGCTTGACACGCACAGTCAAGACCACACAGTGACACCTTTTGATAGCTGACAGTGATGGGAGACACAGAGTCCTGTTTTCAGCCTGTGCTTGTCCTCATGAATATGCAAATGCAAATATACTCATTGACACACTCTTCCATTTATTTCTACATGGACTGTAGCTCACCTGATTCACAAGCTCAGGGATGCCCAAGGCCCTGTCGATTTCCTCCAGGCCTGTGGCATCGGTGTTGCTCAGGAGTGTGTGCAGCTGGTCCAGAAGCGCTCTTTCGTCACTCTGGCCTTCTGTGTTAGGAGGCGGCCCAAGCAGGTCATCCAGAGGATTTCTAAGAAGAGGCCTAGAGGGAGGCTTGAGTCAGCTTTAATGCTGCTGGACAGGGCTCATGAGAACCTGCATTCCACACCCAGGACCACAAAGAGTCAAAGAAAAGCTTTACTAGTGCTCTTTGTTAATGCTGTTTAGGCTTACATTTCCTGAGAGTCTAGCCTTAGTCTAGCCTCACACTCACATCCACCAATTGCTGTAATTTTAAAAAGTGGCTCACGAAAGAAAGATGCCATGTGACTAAGCTTGGGTGAAGGAGTTTTGTAATTGAGGCAAAGTGACTGGGAAAAGAGGGAGATCGAAGACAGGCCTCTGGAGACAGCGGTGGCAGAAGAGAAGAGAGGTGGGGGAGGGGGACAGGGCCTGTAATGAATGTGCACAGGTGGTGCTCTCAGTGGCTGCAGCTGAGGACATATCCTGTCAGAAAACAGAATTTCTCTGTATTGACAGTCTTGGCAGTCCTGGAACTCACTCTGTAGACCAGTCTGGTTTCAAACTCACAGAGATCCTCCTGCCTCTGTCTCCTGAGTGCTGGGATTAAAGGTGTGTGCCACCATACACAGCAAAAATTAACCTTTAACAATGGATAATTTTCTAAAAATATTTCAGTGGTAAGGATGAGAGCAAACTATTGCACCTTCTTTTAATTTTTTAGGAAAGATGTGAGTTCATTCTGTGCTTTATTTTAATGTGTTTAATAAACTACCACTATGCAACATTTTATTTTTTTAGGAAAGATTGTGAGTCCATTCTGTGCTTTATTTTTAATGTGTTTAATAAACTACCACATGTAACATTCCTTGCCCACATCTTTGTTAGCACAGTCTCCAAAGACAAAAACCAGAGACAAACAAAAGAGTTAATTGTCAGGGGTTGGAGAGATGGCTCTGCTGCTATGGGTTCAGTTCCCAACACCCTGCTGGAGGCTCACAACAATGTGTAACCCCAGTTGCAGAGGGATGAAGTCCTCTTCTGGTCTCCATGTGCATTGCACACAGGGTGTGCAGAGACACACATGAAGGCAAAAGATCAATATTAAAATTAAAATTAATTTTCAGGAAAACAGACACAGTGTCAGAAGGTCACTTATAAAGCAGTGAGAACACGCCTTTACCAACTGCTGCTGCTATGGATAGCTCTCCTTGGGAGAGTATTGTTAGGAAAGGCATCACCTCCCACTAAGACCCTTTGAAGGCTGAACTGTCGTTCTGTCTCCTTCCCTCCCAGATGACTGCTTGCTGCCTCGGCACATGGCCAACAGTCAACTATAACGTTGCTCACATATTCTCTCAGAGTTGTTCCTGCTCAGCTCTTAAACTCAGTGCAAACATTTCCCACATCACAAAATAAAGCCCTACCTGCTCTGAGTCCCATGAGGGCCTTGCTCCATAGGCAGCGTGCCCTCTGGCCAGGAGCCTGGTTGATTGGGTGGCGCTGCTGCTTGACCATAGGGATTGACCCCCATTCCCATGGGGATCTCACCAGCTCCTGAGGGATCAAAAGCAGAGCATGAATTTGCAAAGAAGCCATAGCAAAAAATTACCATAAAACATTTTTTCATCTTTTTACTGAAATGGACAGCTTACTCATTTGAAGGATCTGCTGCTGCTGCTGCTGCTGCTGCTGCTGCTGTTGCTGCTGCAATGTTGGTCTTGCACCTGGTATTCTATTAGGGCGAAGAGGCAAGGTGGGCACTGAGCCCCCCATGGCAGGTCTTGGCAAAGGGGCACTGTAGTCTCCTGTTCTTCCCAGAGGACTTGATCCCATAGGTTCCATTCTGCTGGCCTTTGAGTTAGCCAAGCCCCACTCTCCTGGGGAAGAAGTCTGATTCACAGCAACAGAGACATTTCTGTTTGGTCCACCTAAAGGAGGTAGAACTCATCAGGCCTCAGCAAGAGCATAGAAAGCCCTTCATGTACGGGGAGAGACAGTATATACAACAGTGGCTGGAACAGAGCCCTGTCATCCTAGAGAGGTACTTCTCAAGGAAATCACTACACTTAGAAGAAATAACCTACCCATACTGGCACCGTAATTCTCCTGACTATCCATCACCCTTGGGTTCCCAGTCAGTGTGGGCTGTTTTGGTAACACCGGGAAAGCACTGACGTTCTTCACTGGAGGACCTGAGCCAACAGAAACAGGGCTATCAAGAGACACGGCTCGGTTATACGGAGGACGAACAGGCTGCACAGGCTGTGGACTTCGCAAACCTGTTGAAAACACATTAATATCACTTGCTGACTCAATATCAAAATAATCAAGTGCAAAAAAATAAACACCACTAAGTCCCACACAAAAAGTCTTTCTTATAAAAACGAACACGACCATGTTCTTTTACAAAATAAGCCATGCCAAAAAGAAAAAAAAGCCCCAATTCAAATAAAGTCTAAACAATAATCTGCTTGTCGGCTCACGCGCCAGCACTCAGCTGCAGCCTAATATGGTCATGCATGATGTTCGCATCGAGTGCCAAGTCACAGGCTGAGTAGTGTGGTTCAGTGGCCCATGTTCAGCATGCATGAAGCCCTGTGTGCAGGCCCTAGGCAACACAATGCAAGGAGGAAGATAAATCTTCTGCGTGTGTACTTCTGTACTTATATATTCAGTGAAAATAGTTAAGCTACCTTCCAACCAAACAGGGAATAAATGTAAATTTTATGTAATAAAATTTTAAATAAAATATAATCTTTTCTTTTTCTAACCTGATTATCCATTTCAGTTTAGAAAACAGTACAACTGAGCCGGGCATTGGTGGCACACGCCTTTAATCCCAGCACTCATGAGGCAGAGGCAGGTGGATCTCTTTGAGTCCGAGGCCAGCCTGGTCTACAAGAGCTAGTTCCAGGACAGCCTCCAAAGCCAGAGAAACCCTGTCTCGAAAAACCAAAATATAAAAAATAAAATAAAAAAAAGGAAGAAATAAATAAAAGAAAACAATACAATTGAAAATAGTGAGACTATGTGTCGGAGTTGGGGGTGTGGGGGTAGGGGGCTGGGGGGCAAGGGGTTAGTTAGGGGACCATGCCTCTGGTCCCAGCATTCAGATGGCCAGAGCTACACAGATATCCTTTCTCAAAGATGGAAAGAGGAGGAGGGAAAAGATAGAAAGAAACAAAGAAGGGGAAGGAGAAAGAAAAAAGTAGAAATAACTATCATGAGATGACCATAAGTTATTCTGTTTTAACTAATGCAACCTATTACAATAGGGAACCAAGTGAGAACTCTCTCATGATTAAATAACAAGATTCTTTAAGCAACAAAAATGACAAGTATTTAATCCAGTTTTGATCTTTTAACCCAATTATCTATGTACAAGGAAAAACATCTGCCTCAGGAGCCCAGATATGGATTCTCTAGTTAGCATCAGGCTACCGGTACATAATTAGAAGGAGAAAGACGAAAGGCCGAGCAGTGAGACAGCTAGCAACTATGATAGCTGATGCCAAGCCTGAAGTTCCAACCCAACCCCAGGACCCACAAGGAAAGAACCAGCTTCCACACACTGAACTTTGCCCACAAACATGCTGTAGTATGAGCATGGACACGTGTGTGTATTCGTATGCACACACAGAATATTAAATGTAATTTTGAGAAAGGTAGAGGAGGCAGGAAAATAACTGATATAACAACAGCAAGGAGTGCAAGAACCCAGCAATGCAGAGGTTGTGTTCTGAAGTTCCAGGCGCTGTTAATTCCTGGTCTTGGTGTAATAGAACATGCAACTGTGCTGACAAGTTTCTAATCAAAAGCTAGCAGGGTGTTTGGGATACGACTGTATCTGGGACATGGAGTTAAGAGGGCAAGTCCCTGGCCAGTCTAGGCTCCTCATGAAGATCATGTCGTAAAACCCACCACCCAACTTCACCCTCAAAGGGGAAAAACTCTGGTTCTTCCTTACCCAGAGAACTTGGTCCTGCAAACATCTGCTGTTTGGTCCCTGGATGGCTGCCATTTGTAGATACAGGGTTGTTGTAAAACTCAGAACTAGTCAAATCACCAAGAATAGCGTCTAGATTATCCAGGTCTCCAGATACCTGAAAATGAACCTTTTCAAATTATCCTGCATGGAATACCAGATGAAGCTATTATGGCATCAGCAAAAGAAATACCAATCAGGAACCCAATAAAACACAGCAGTGACTTCAGGCATGTGGTTTGCACTTTTAATCCCAGCACTCCACTTCCAGGACATGTACCAGGGTGATACAGATCTTCAGAATCTCATCTTAGAATCCCCTAAAAACCAAACCTAAACAAATTGCCTAACTCTGAGCCTCAGAGGAACACAACAATGGAGGAAGAGTCCTAGTGGTAACAGCCAGGGATAGACAGTGAGACTGTCTCTTGCCCTCTCTCAAAACAAACAAACAGATGAACAAGACCTCCAGTTGTTCCCTGAAATGATGCTCAGATCAAAGGCTGCTCTCCTAGGGCCTCACCCACCTCTACCTTCACTGCACGGCTCAGCCACTACGGAAACTCACTAGGCTCTGCTTGCCAATGCAGCACTTTTTGCTCTGACACTATTTTCCCACCACAGGTCTCTGAGGAAGGGTCCAGAGCTGGCAGGAACCTGCATCTGCACGTAACTTTTCTAAAAAATGTATTGGTAAGTGGTATTTAACAAGGCAGTCACAGGCACGCAGATATGGCAAAGTGAGGCCTGTGCCTATGAGGCTCTAGTCTTCATCATTCTCCCTACAAGGTGCTCTCACATGCACAAACTCCAGGGAAAAAACTATGCTGCTACATTCAAACTTTCCTATTAAACGTCTACTGTCCTTCACAACCCAAGCTGCTCACACCTGCACACCCGAGCACCTCAATTCAATCACGAGTCCACTCTGGAAAGAGAATGACTGTCCTCTGATGTGGCACGCTGCACCACACCCCACACACATACGCACGAACTCAGACGCTCTCATACTCAAGACTCACACTCACTCTCACATACAGCCACATTGGCACTCACACTCAGACACACATACACACACACTTACATTCACACTGTCTCACACTCAGATACTCAGACACACTCTTACACTCACGCTGTCCCGTATCCACACTTAACCTCCTTATGATAAACGTAAGCTCAAGGCTGTCCTTAAATTTAAAACTAATAACTGATGGGGCGGCCACATTCTGTTTATAACACAGAAAGAAACAAGCTGAACAGAGTACCTCCTCACTGGGCTCTGTCTTAATTTTGGAATCTTTGTCTTGGCTGGAGCTGGGATTGGTGGAGCTGCTGCACTGACTCGGCTTACTGTCACCTACGTCCGCTTGGGGCTGCAGCTCTTTGGCAAGGGCATCGCTGGGGTCATCCCTGTCCAGCAGGTATCTGAGGAGGGCGTTATTCTCCTTCTTCTTGGGACTCAGCTGCTCCTGCCTGGCATTCCCTTCTCCACAGGGAGCAGTACTACTGGTGTCCTTCCCGGTGGCCTCTGCAGTAATCTTCGCGACTTCCGCTGGTGAGTTGCCATTCTGCAGCAACTTGTGTAAAATCCGGTGTTTCTCTTGCAACAGAGACCCATGCACATTGGAAGTAGAAGATACTGCTCCTGACGTTGAGGAGGACACTCCAGAGGGGCTGGTGACACTAATAGAAGAGTCTTTGCAATTTGAATCCAGGGGGGAGTTAGTCATGGAGGAATGACCTCGGTCATCAGAAGAGCATGTGAGTAGCTGCAGCAGTTTCTTGTGGCCTTTGCTTTCCAGGGGACCCCTTTGGCTCTCCGAGCCCTCCCCACTGCTCTCCTTGCTTTCTTTGTCACTGGAGTGGTCTCTGCTATTTGACTGACACACTGAGCTCTCCACTGGATTCTGTTCACAGTATAAGCCTAGGGGGCTCCTGGAGTCCTGCCTGCCCCCTTTACTTGGCTGATTTACACTCATATTGGGAGAGTTATCCAACTTGGGGCCTGGTGAAGACAGAGTGGATAAAAGAGAAGTTCCCACACCCTCGCTGATGGCTTGCAAGGCACTGAGGGAGCTGCTGGAAAAGCTGTGACTCCCTGGAGCACCAGCAGATGCCATGGGAGAGTGCACACCTGCACGTGGAGAAAGATCAGGAGAGAGACAGTCAGACAAGCTAAGAAACCATAACTTCAAAGCTCCCCTTATAAAGAATGACAGTGGTGTGGGAAGAAAACCCAAGCAGAAAAGGCTACTACTGTGATACCTGCAACAGGCGAGAACTGGTGTGAGGCCATCTTTGGGCTCCCGCGATTACGTGGAGAAATCATGATGTTTTGCTGGTTGGGGCCAAGACCAGGACTGCCATGGGGGGGGCTGCTCATGTTGAGCCCATAGCTGCTATTCTGGTAGGAAGATGGTGACTGCAGGCTTTGTCCTGGGGTCAGCGAAGCTATGTTATTGGAGGGCCCATACCTAGCTCCCCCCATCTGCCCGGCATTGCTGGGGTCTGCCACACCATAGGTCCTGCTGCCCAGCGTCTGTACGCTCTGGTTGGGAGACATGTTCATGTTGCACCCTGCTGCAGGAGGCCGGACACCCTGTCCTACAGAATTTGGGTTTGGTCTATATCCATTCTGTTCTCTGCAAAGAAACACATCAAGTTTTTCCTTTAAAAACCGCAGCCATGCATGAAGGGATGGCAAAGGGGAAAGGAAGAGAGTGGCATAGAAGTGCCCAGGAGCAGACACTAGGTGTCACTCCAATACCAATTTGGGTGCTAACCACCACACCAAATCATACCTTTTGGATTTATTTAAGCTCTCAGTCTAGAATTATAGGTCTATACTACCAGGCCTGAGTTTGGGGATTTGTTTGGGATTTTTTGTTGGTTGGTTGGTTGGTTGGTTTGAGGTGGGTCTTGCTACACCTGGGGACATTGCACCAATCCCTCAAAGCAAATAATGAGCAAATCTCTTTCCCTCTATGAAGTTAATTTACCATTAATAACATCAGTAGTTACTACTCTATTATTATTATTAATTACTAGAAATAAAGGTATCCACTATTCTCCCAACATACCACCACCGTCACCCTCATTTCCCACACACCCCACACCCTGGCTTACCAAGAAGCAATTATTTAATACTAAGTTTTAGATAAAAGTGAAACCTTAAAACATCTCTAAAAATCTGAATTCATGTCACTGAATCCAACAGCTTTCCTGGTTCTTCCCCCTTTGCATAGACAGCAAAGCATCGTGAGGATGTGGGTGCATTTAGTGTCATCACCTCTGAAGAAAGTGAGTTGAGACGAAGCCATGACGATCGTTCGTTACGGGATTTCGAAAGAGCTTGCTTTTTGTCTGGGCACTCACAATAGTTCCATCAGCCAATGAGAAGCGATACACTGGGGTCTCTGCATGGCCATGAATATAAGCTATTGGGGAAAAGCATATTGTTACTGTTACTGATATCTGAGACTAGCCCAGTACATACAGAAAGACAGGAACTGTACTTCAAATACAAAGTTTTGTAAGCCATGTAGACACGAACAAAAGCATAAAACAGCTATACTCAAAAACCATTCCCTAGTCGTCCCCCCCCCAAAAAAAATCCCTGACTGTTGCACAAAGAAACTGTACCTTGTGGAGGAAAAAAATCATCCCCTCTCCCATAACCACCAGATAGCAGGACAAGTTGAGTGGTTTGTAGCATCATCAACACCAGCACCAAGATCAGCTCCAAATGCCTTTACCTTCTTGATAGTGACGCTTCTGGGACCATGACTGCCCATCATTGGAACTAAAGAATCTCTGGATACATCTTCGGATGGTGTCTTCAAAGCCAGGCCTCATGGAAGATCTAAGTGAGTTTGTATCTATATTGACAACCTTTCCTATTAAAGATAAAACAAAAGATTTCAACCCTGTCCACAAGTACTTTCTGCTGCTTAGCTGTGACTAGCACTTTAGAGTGAGAGAAAGGAGTAGAATCTCAGCTCTGCCTTCTGTCCTTAACACACAACACAGCAGGAAGCTGATCGCAGTGCCCCTGTGGAATGCACTCCATCTGGTTCTAGGGGCAGCTCCTAGTAAGAAGCACGCCACTGTTCTTGATGCTCCTTTGTAGTCTTGGATGAAATGGGTTTTTAAATGCTAGTCTGTAGGAGTGAACCCCACAAAGCTACCTGCCCAACAGGGCGGGGTCAAGGTAGAGATAAAAGGTAGTGAAAGGAAAAGGGGCCTCCCTCTTTTTCTCCTGGAAGCCAGCCACGCTTCTAACTCCTGGTATGTGCGACTCTCTCTCTCCCTGATAAATAAATATATTGTTTTTCCCTATATAGCCTCGATTATCGCTTATACTAGTCACTAGAGGGTTTAAAGAAATTTTATTTAGCTATACTTAGTGTTACTAAAGAGGAGAAAATAGGCCAGGTGGTGGTGGCCCACCCTTTTAATCCCAGCACCTGGGAGGCAGAGGCAGGCAGATTTCTGTGCATGGTCTACAAGAGCTAGTTCCACTCTTCAAGAAAGGACTGATTCTGAAAGCTCAAATGACAAATAAAATGTATGTCGCTGGGATGTGGAGATAGCTCAGTCACTAAAGTATATGAAGACCCACATTCAATTCTCAGCACCCAGAAAAAAAAGCTAGGTGGAGTGGCGCAAACTTGTAATCTCATAGCTGACTGAACAAAGAAAGGAAGACCAGAGGCTGGCCAATGAGTCTTTAAAACAGGGGTGGGGAGGGGGGCCTCTGGAAAGTTGCTAAGAGCACTGGCTGCTCTTGCAGAGGGAGGACCCAAGTTTAATTTTCAGCACCCATATGGCAGTTCACAGCCATCTGTAACTCCAGTCACGGGGGATTAAACACTTATTCTACAAAGTGATCAAGGTGGACAGACAGCAAGGAGCAAAGGACCAAGGTCTTTAGTTCAGGATTCCTGTGGATCCCAGCACTCAGGAGGCTGAGGCAACAGTTCTGCATCCAGGCCAGCACAGGCTCCATTGTGAGGCCTGGCTTTTTTTTTTTTTTTTTAATTTTTTAAAAAGTAGAAGAAAACCAAACCTCGTGTTTATGGCAAGAATTGCTCTTCCAAGCCAAACAGATGGCTCAGAGGTTAAAAATACTGGCTAGCTTCCCAACACCTACATGGCAGCTCACCACCATTAAAACCCCAGTTCCGGGAGATCCAATGCCATATTCTGGTCTGGGGGCACCAGACACACTATGGTGCCCAGATATACATTTAGGCAAAACGCAACTGCATATAAAATAAATAACAAAAATACATTACCCTCATTATTAGAAAAATCTATGTATTTTGAAAACTTGTTTCACTATAATAAAGTTTTATTTATTTTATTTTTGGTTTTTTGAGACAGGGTTTCTCTATATTGTTTTGGAGGCTGTCCTGGAACTTGCTCTATAGACCAAGCTGCCTGCCTCTGCCTCCGAGTGCTGGGATTAAAGGCATGCACCATGAACGCCCGGCTTCACTATAATAAAGTTAAAGAAAAGAAATATAAAACACTGAGCCTGATGATGAGTCTGATACCAAGACTTACATGATAAAGAGCACAAATCTCCCTCTCCATTGTCCCCTGTCCTCCTAGCTACTCTATGGGTCATGTAACACACACTGTATTTGTCAATGGATGGATGGATTTTTGATATTTTTAAATTTTTTCTATGTATATGCATGTGTGAATGTATGTGCAAGTGTCCAGAGGCCAGAAAGGGCACTGGATTCCCTGGAGCTGAGTTACAGGCAGCTGGTGTTCTGCCTGCCCTGCATGGGTGCTGAGAAGGGAACCTGAGTCCTCTAGAAAAGCAGGAAGTGCTCTTAACCCCTGAGTCATCTCTCCAGTTTTGGGAAAGTGCTATTTTGGCCTGGTGGTGTATACCTTTAGTCCCAGCCCTCGGGAGACAAAGGCAGGCAGATTTCCGAGTTTGAGGTCAGCCAGGTCTAAAGAGAGTCCATGACAGTCAGAACTACACAGAGAAACCCTGCCTGTCTGGAAAAACAAAAACGGGGGGGGGTGCTATTTGAAGAAAGAGTCAGGCACTTTTACCTTTACATTTGTTTATCTTCTATTTGGGGTAATTTTAAGTGCCAACTTTATTCAATTCAATTGCTGAGGTTTTTAGTGAAATTTTTTTTCTCCTCTCTCTCCCTCTCAATCTGGTTTAAGACAGGGTTTCTCTGTGTCTGTGTAACAGCCCTGGCTGTCCTGGAACTCATTCTATAGACCAGCCAGCCTCCCTCCCAAGTGCCAGGATTAAAGGTGTACACAACCAGTGACTGGCTGTGAAATTCTCTTATTGTCATATAATAAACCCAGGCTAGGCTGGAAGCTGGCTCTCAGCGGGTTAAGTAAGTGCTTACTGATAACCTATGATCCATGCGTGGAGCTCACGGCAGCAGACTTAATTCTGACAAGTGCACATACTCATGTACAGACCCGACAGGAATAAGTTGGCTTTACGGCAGTTTCCAAGTGAAGACACAAGGCTGGTTACCTGACAGGTCATGCCTGGTAATAAAGCTCTCAGGACTTGACGGAAATGTCCTTTCCCCTGTTGTCACTCGACGTGCCACACAGATCATACAGCACTGCAAGTCTACAAGCAACAAAAGGTAACCAGGTCGGATTCCGCTCACTTTCAACAGGCGAGGGAGGACAAGTGCATCCTAGACGCTTACCTTCCCCTTCTTCCAGCATAGCTCGAGGCTGCGACAGGGCGAAGCACTGCATTGTTTCATATCTCTGGCGAGTTTCGGGACTGGCATTCATGTCTTCCAAAATATCATGTGTTTTCATCAACATACGACAATTAAAGGTATGGCTTTTCTGTCTCTGGGTCTCGTTATTCCAAGAAACTCCATTAACTTTTGAAAAACAAATTAAAATTTAAAAACAATTGAAATTAATTTTTTATAAACCAGGTAAAACTCAGTCAAAATTTATCGACAATTCAAGCTAGGGTTGGAGCTGGAGAGATTGGTTGGCAATTAAGAGCATCATTCATTCATAACTCCAGTTCCAAGAGATCTATCTGATGCCCTCCTTTGATCTTGGGCACATAAATGATGAACATACATACATGCAGGCAAAACACTCAAACATACAAAATGTATAAAACCTCAAGCTAGGGATTGGAGATATGGCTCCTTCGATAAGAGCAGTTGTTGCTCTTCCTAGACCAGAGTGGTTCCTAGTACCATTAGCTCCAGCTCCAGATGATCTAATCCCCTCTGCTGGCCTCCAAGGACACTGCAGTCACACATGGCATATATCCACATATGTATGGTAGCACACCCTATAATCCTGAGTTCAAGGCTAGCCTGGACCACACAGTAAGAGCCCCTCCCCCCAACAAAATACAAAACAAAGAACACACCTGTGGATTTGGGTAAGTGTTTAAGGAAGTCCTTCCGGTCCTGCTCATGTAAGATGCTGTAGACACTTGTGTTAACCAGGTCTTCCTGCTTGTACTGCAGATACTGTGTAACATTTTCTGACACAAATACAATGTTGCCATCTCGATTCACCACAAACAGAAAACCATCCAATGCCTACAGTGGGACGTGTTAATACAAGCTAGTATGAAAACCATCCCAGTGCCCCAAAAGCATTAAAGCCCTTCCCCTCTTTTTGCAAGGGTTGGGGCTATCATTGCAAATTCAGTAAGTACTAAAGAGAACCCAACTCAACACAACTGTGTCTTATAAAGACTAACAGAGTCAGTAAGTACTAAAGAGAACCCAACTCAACACAACTGGTGTCTTATAAGGACTAACAGCACACCAGAGATGCATGCTCAGAGGAAAGGCTATTTTAAGGCCCAGTTAACGAGCCAAAAGAGAGGGCACAGGAGAAGTCAGCCCCATCAACACTCTGATCTTAGACTCCAGTCTTCAAAACTGAGGAGGTAGAATCAGGAGTTGAGGTCACCCTAGATTATACAGCAAGTTCAAAGAAAGCCTGGGCTAACATTACAGCCTGTCCTCCCGGGGGGGAAAAAAAGGTGTTTTGAGACCCTTAGTTCTCCCAAGTTTTCTGCCTGGTCACAACTTAAACTATAGGAATTACCATACTGTTCCTGAACAAGCGTGTAAAAAGATTCTTAAAATGAATGAGCACAAAAGTAGTTGAAACAACTCACTGAAAGAAAGACCAGATGTCAAGTAAACTTGCAGAAGCCCTCGCCGGCCTGAAGTAGCACTGCGTCATGGTTAATCAGCTCTTCTCAAGGCAATTACTTCAAAAACATGCACATGTTTAAAGTTCGAAATTGCCTCACAAGCTGGGTGCAGCTCCATCACAGAGCACTCACTTGCCTAGCATGCATGAGGCCCTGGGCTCCCTCCCCAGGACGATGAATACAGTTCTCCAAGAATACAGAGTAGCATGCTTGCCTGCTGTGGTCACCTAGCTCGTGTGAGGGCCTTGGTTCAATCTCAAGCACGAAAAAGAAAAAGTAGAACTATAGTGTGCAATGCAAGCAATCATGAGAAAAGCCACAGGGGTGTGTGTGTGTGTGTGTGTGTGTGTGTGTGTGTGTGTGTGTGTGTGTGTGTGTGTGTGTTTTATGGGTAGGTGGTTAGAATTATATAGTGTCAGCAAGGGTATTTTGTGATTGCTATAAGAATACTGAATTTCTTATTTCTAACACCATATATATAACATGGTAAGACAACCAGAGTAGCAACATGCGTTGGACAGCTACAATCTTCACACCTACCTGTAGTAAAAGTGGTCCTAAAGAGTCTTTATCAATGACCCCCTGTCCTGTAGAAGACACATCAGCTTTCTGAACATCATCATCACTGGATATAGTTTTTCCTAAAGACACAGAAGGACGCATTGGAGTGAGCAACACTTATATACACGCACACACGCATGCACTGTGGGTAGGCAACATGTACACAAACATGCAGAACACTGATAAGAGAAAACCACAACTTAAAATATTGAACTTCATGGTTTCCCAGGGAGGCAGAAGGCACTGGGCCCCTTTTCTGCTAAAGGTGCTGGTCTTTAGGCCCCAGCTTCCCTCTCGCCAGCATTTTCCATGGTGAGGAACTTGTCTTCTGCCAATTCTCTGTTGTTTGCTAAAAAGCAAAGCTGGACAACTCCTGGGACTTTGGGGTGAGTCTTGCTTAGCACGAGTGAGGCGCTATTCAATCCCTTTGACCCAGCATGGGAGGTGGGGGTTTCCTGAATTTGTGTTACCTTGCTCTTTTATTTGACGTATCTGCCTCACTGTTTCCTTTAAAATCGCACATTTATCAGGTTTGACGTTGAAATTGTCAATATCGCTAAGATTTGCAGATATCAGCTCAGCCAATTCTTCTATGTATTTGCTCTCCTGCTCCCGTCTCCACTTTTCACCACTGTAGGTAAGACTGAAAGAGGAAGAAAAGCCACAACTCACACCTCTCAAAAGAGAAAGCTGCAAGTAGAATCTGCCCATGTAACACCATTAGTTCCCTGTGGAAACAAACCAAACTCAGCCAACAAGAATGTCCAAATGACGGCACAAAAACATACAGTGTAGAAAACCCTGCAGCTTTCTTCAGTGCCACCTTTGATTAGCCACTGGCCTTGAGAAAACTCAACCCCAGTTCCTCCATCTGGAAAACTGAGACAAATCACCTACCCCTGTCCTGGAGCATCGCAAGGCAATTTGCGTTTTCGAGACTCAGTGGCCAGCGGATCCAAGGAGCTTTCACCTAGTCCACTCATCTTGAACAAGATCAGCAACTAGGAAAGAAGAGGTAATGAAAATATCATGACCGAATGGTCCAGAGGTCCTTTCTCAGTGTACTTGTCAAGAGCTCTGCTGCGTGGTAACAGTGCTGGTCATGGTGGTACATACCTGTAACCCAGCACTTGGAAGGCTCAGACAAGAAGATTAAGGGAGTGGTACTATTAAGGAGTGTGGCTTTGTTGGATGAAGTGTGACTGTGGAACCAGGCAGTAGTGGCACACCCATACCTTTAATCCCAGCACTCAGTGAGTTCAAAGTCAGTCTGGTCTACAAATGGAGTTCCAAGACAGTCAGGACTGTTTCACAAAGGAAACCCTGTCTGGGATTGGGGGGGGGATGAAGGACAGATGGGACAGGTAAAATTCTACATTTTATTTATGTCCAAGTAGAACACAAATAAAAGCTTATCCTGTGGTTTCATAAGAACTCTTCAAACCAGGTGGTGGTGGTGGTGGTGGTGGTGGTGGTACAAGACATTAATCCCAGCATTTGCTAGGCAGATACAGGTGAATTTCTGTGGGTTCTGGGGCAAGCCTGGTCTACAGAGCTAGTTCCAGAACAGTCAGGGCTACACAGAAAAACCCTATCTCAAAAAGACTAGACTGTTGAGAATCTTTGTAAATGTTTATTTTATTTTCTGTGTATGAGTGTTTTGCCTGCATGCACCATGTGTGTACAGTGTCCACTGAGGCCAAAAGAAGGTGTCAATCTGCTATGACCACCATGTAGGGTATGCTGGGAACAGAACCTGGGGCCTCTGCCCAAGCAGCCAGTGCTCCTAACCGTTGACCCTCCTCCAGTCCACAGGCTCTCTAAGTAGCACTTCTGTCCAGTGATGATTTCTCTATATTTACTACCTAATGTTCTTCCTCTGTTGAGTCCAAATAAGCCTAGGCTATATAGACATTACCATAAAACTCCCTACATTCTACTTAAAGCATAGGTATAAATCCAGACAAACTCTTATATGACAAGGGTTGCCATAAGCCACACAACTGGTGGAAAAATAATGTTCAAGCACTAAGAAGATAAATACAGGACATTTCTTTTTGAGCTTACAATGTGAGGGTTCTATTAAGCCTCATGTACTAAACTTTCATGTGTAATATAAACTCTTGCTTGAACACGACAATCACTGGCCTACAGAATCCTAAGTCTCTAACCTTAAAATGCATCTAGCATTTCAGCCAGCCAGCCAGCCTACAGGACACATGTCCACTAGGTGGCACAATACTACCAGACAGGCCAGTTTTTTAAAAACCCACACATGGTCAAACTTAAAAATATGTAGGTCATGCTTGTTTTGAGACAGGGCCTTGTGACACAGACTAGCCTGGAACCCACTATGTAGTTGCTGCTGGTACTGAGTACCTGGTCCTCCTGCCTCTACGTCACTGGGACTACAAGTACAGCCACAGAACTACAGCAAGTCTAGAGGGCTTCTCATGCGCTTCATCCGAAGAGCATTTTTAAACTGAGCAACAAACTGCACTGAGCACTAACATACTTGTTTTCACTTAACTTATCCCGAATTCTGTGTTTTCTCTTCCCCTGGTGTTAAACACAGGCTGAAGCCACACACCTCAGCGGAAAACTGCCAACAAAAAGCAGCTCCTCAACTGAAAGATGAGGTTTGATCTGTACTCGCCCGAGGTCCGACAGCTCGGAACACCTATGGGTGCTGTCGAAACCCAATCCATTTCTGCATTACTCAGAAGGATCATCTGTGACAAAGTCAAACTACACAAGAATCTACCAGAGACTACAAAGAAGACACAAACACCACCCACCTTTCTAGAAGTCACAGCCAAGCGTGGCACCTGCTGAAGCACAGCAGAAGTGACCATCCATGGAGTCATGCCAATTTAACATAGCTGAACACAAGGACTGACATTACCATTTTGGTATATGGCTTAACATTAACCAACTTCCTTTCTTGTTGTCTCAGACAAGAGACAAGGCTTGTAAACTAGCTAGAAGCACTCCTTGACCAACAAGAACAGAGTGAAGGCTCAGAAAGTACAGCGCTTGTCAGTTCCTAGCAACCAGAGCTCCATCGTTGTCTTCTACACTCCATTTATGCACTGAGGCATGGGTGTACATACAGGCACACAAATGTTTAAAAAAAAGATAAAATGAAAAATATCATGTTAGTGTCCTAACTGAGCAAGTTATTCTGGGACCTAAGAAAAACCTTAATGTGCCAAAATGAGAGGGAGTGGGTTACCCAATGATAAGCTAACTTTTCCCTATGTTAGAGGGGGAGTGGAGGGACTGATAGGCCAGGATGGCATTGAACTCCTCACTATATTCATGAAGACCCTCCTGACCACAGTTGATTCTGTTTTACAGATAGGTAAATGGCTAAATAGCTTTTCACTAGCATTACAACTAGTTCCTGAATGGTAGAGATAGAACTGACTCTATAACCAACAAAAAGGCATCAAATGTTTTTTGTTGCTTTTAACCCATTTTATTTCCCCACAATCACCAAAATAAACCACTACCTCCAACCATCTAACAGAGAGCTGCTCAGTTTATCAGTATCATAAACACTAGAGCATCTTCAGCTTAGGGGCATGAGGAAAGTGCCTGAGTAAGGGTTAGTTAACTCCACAGCTACTGTGCTTTATCCCCCAAAACACTGGCTAAGCTGTACTCTGGCCTAACACTGCCCTGACTCCTACATGAGATGTGCAAAGAGTGGCTAACACAACAAGACTATCTGAGGTGAGAAAAGCAAAGCTCTCTAAAATAGCCTCCAAGAGTGTGTTCTTGGGTGTGCTATGATTAAACGCGGGGCCAAGAGCTGGCGATCTCAACTGTGACTCAACTTCTCCATCAGGCTTGTGTGCCAGGGTTATACAAGGTATGATTGAGTACACTAATTATGAGAGTCTTTGTAGTGTCTCTTGAGAATCACAGAAACATAAAAAGATGTTCAAATAACAGCTGTGGGTTTGAACTGATTTACTGAACTGCTTAAAGTGCTATGCAAAAATTGGGACTGCTCTAATTAGGGGGGAGGGAAAGGCACCTGTGAAGAATTTACAAGGCATCAAGAGACATTCATACATAAAGGTTTTGTCAAAAATACAAGTCCCAAATTGATACTCCTATTCAATTTAGTGGCTTGTCAACAATTAATCTAAATACTTAATCCTACATTATCAAAGGTTTTTTTCTACCCTGGCGTTGGTGGCGCATGCCTTTAATCCCAGCACTCGGGAGGCAGAGGCAGGTGGATGGATCTCTGTGAGTTCGAGGCCAGCCTGGTCTACAAATCGAGTTCCAGGACAGTCTCCAAAACAATACAGAGAAACCCTATGTACAGTCCAGGCCTCAAAGTCATCATCCTCCAGCCTCAGTCCCACAAGTGCTACAACTAAAGAACCGGACAGCTTGTTTTCACACTTTTGCAACATTATATACTACCCCCTCACTGTTTCATTATATACTACCCTCTCTGTTTCATTATATACTACCCTCTCTGTTTCATTATATACTACCCTCTCTCTGTTTCATTATATACTACCCTCTCTCTGTTTCATTATATACTACCCTCTCTCTGTTTCATTATATACTACCCTCTCTGTTTCATTATATACTACCCTCTCTCTGTTTCATTATATACTACCCTCTCTCTGTTTCATTATATACTACCCTCTCTGTTTCTGATCACTCCTCAGCACACACAGCTACTTGGGAGGCAGTGGCAGTGAGCTCCAGGCCAGCCACGGGCTGTTTTCAGTATTGTCACAACCACACCAGCCCTTATCCAACTCCAGTCCTCTTCCCCCCGTCCAGCTATGCTTCCAGTAAGTCTCCCATTCTTCAAAGGTGCTTGTGGAAAGGAGAGTAGCTGAACCATTAGAGAAATTCCCTCCATCCTACTGTGCCATTTTTTTCACTTGGGTATCCCATTCCAAACACTATGGCTTCAAGATGGCCTCAAAACAGAAGCCAAGGATTTGGCGAGTTGCATCCCAAGTTCATCGCTTCACTAAAAGGTCTACTGTGGTCTTCTGTAAACGCTAACCCAGTGAACACCAGAGGGTGAGACAGCTATACAGGGAAATCACTTGCAGTGATCCTCACTACCTACACTACACACACAATAGTGGGGGAGGGGAGAGAGGGAGAGGGAGAGGGAGATACTCATGGCGTACGCACACACACTTGCACTAACACTAAACTGAATAAAACTTTTAAGATGAAGCACCTTGCCAGGTATGTCCTGTAACCCCACATTTGAAAATAAGAATCTGGAAGGTGATCTTGACCAAGGGAGTTTGAGTGCAGCCTAGGCAGTACAGCAAACCCTATCTCAACAAAATAAGTATGAAAGCTAATGCTGCTTCTATTGTCGGGAACCAACAAACCACCAAGTACCGAATCATAGATTGTATTATGTACTACAGTAAGTCTTGCTGGAAGTCAGAGACTGGGTGGTGATTTAAAGGTAGAAATAGCTCAGCACATGTGCACACACCAACACACATACACAGGTAATGCCTGTTTTCAGAGCTTCTGCTTGGTTTGTTTCTCAGAATAACTTTTCTCTCCAAGAGGCGCATTTCCGGGCAGCATGTTATGGTTTCCTGCAGTTGACAATCAGACCCGAATCCCATGAAGGACCTTCCATGCTGCACTGAAATGCATGACTTGACTTCACTACTACACAGCTTTTCCAGGTATGATTCTGCAGTGCCAAGCATTGAGTGGAGCTGACATTTCAAATAGAAAGTAAATGTATAATTTCATTATTCGGTCTTTTAAAATCTACATTCATTCAAATCACCCATCATTCATCAGAAAAGTCATTCAGTAATGAAAGGTAATCATGGTACCAGGGTCAAGTTCATGGACATTTTGATTCCAGGTGAAAGCTCAAATTTTATCATTGACAATAAACAGATTTTGTTTCTAAAGTACTATGTTTAACTGACTCACTTTCTGAAAACCAGCTTGGTCTACAGAGCGAGTTCCAGGA